AAACTCATAAACGATCACTAGAGGTACTGTTCGCTTTCAAGAATACTGCTCATTTCAATTATTCATTGTTTGAAGGCACACTTTCACAACACGCTGCTGAAACAGAAGCCTGATGCTTTTCACAGGACAATGCTCCAATGTATCACAAGCTCGCCAAAAATTAACGAAATTATTGCTTGTCAAAAATATTGCTATCGCGATTTGTCAAAATGGCCCAAACTCGATCGTCTCAGGTTCGCTCTTCTTATCTCATTATCATATAGCTAGCCCAATGAAGCAGAGCGAAAGTATTGTGAGAAATTTGATTTTGATAAATATTGGGAAAAAACGGTGGGCTTGTAATTCGATTTGTTTTCTCACTTCCGCTTATGAATTGACAATCGCTCTCATTATAATTGATGTCCAGTCCAATAGCTCAAAGACTATATTTGCAGTCAAGGCCAGATAAACTTCTTCGATAGCCTGATTTTTCAAAAACATTTGGAAGCAGATGCTGTATCAGAAGCTGTTTATACTCTCGGTAATGCAAACCAGAGAGAGAGATAATACGTTGTCTGCTTTTCTAGGTGTAATTCATTATCGATTCGCCCGTTATGGAATGAAACCTCATTTTCTAGATTTATGGCAACAACAATTCTCAGATGTTAGTTTCTGTTTTATTTCCATTCAGTAATTATGATGTTATATAGATTCTTTTAAAATTGCGGTTCGACGACGATGATGAGAAACGCATTTTCATCGAAGCTTTCTCCATTATGAATAAGTACGTGGTGGATGTTATGAACATAGCCTACGCTAAGTGTCAGCAGAGCGCTGCTAAGCAGGAAAAGCTCAGTTGACTATATTATTACATTTAACTTGATTATGGGTCTATTTTTTATTGTTTATGTTTGTTGCTGAATGAAATGATTACAAGTATGAAGTGTTCTGTTAACCCACATAGGTTGACGGAATGAGAACAAGGACATGAAACATATATGGCTCTGTCTCATTCCTCATCGATGTTGGATGACTGTCAACTCGTATTTTTTATTCTCAACTATTATAATCTATATCATTCAGTGATCATTTGAACTTCGATATTATAGCCATGTACAAGCTGTCCGCATCACTGAACCGGGTCTGGGTGTCATCGGGCATTATTTTGTTTTGCATTTTAACTGTAGCAGTTGTTTTTCCGTTTTTGTATTTCCAACTCGATACAGCTCAAACACGCCTGCATCTGCGAATGGATACTTTCAAGGTTAGCTCTAGACGAGTTCCTTTCTTTAAATTTGTTTTAGTTCACTGCCCGTAATATTTGGAAAGATGTTGTTCTGGTCAGTAGTAACCGTGTCCGTCGTCAAGGATACGGAAGCTCTTATGATACCCAAGGTGATAATCAGCAATGCACAACTTGTATTGAACTTCAGTGTCCGTTAGGACCATCAGGGCCACCTGGAGTTAATGGTGAGCCCGGAATGGATGGATCTGCAGGAAGACCTGGTAATTCATAACTCGTATTCATGTTTTAAGTGTTAAGTCTTGAAGGAAAACCTGGACTCGATGGATTAGATATTCAACTGGATCCCGAACCATCCTACCCATGTGTTATTTGTCCAGCTGGCCCACCAGGAAACCGCGGGGCTCAAGGAGATATTGGTCGTGCTGGTATTTCTGGAGATGCTGGACATCCTGGTTCACCCGGTCGGCCTGGTAAACCAGGTCGTGTAGGAAATGCTGGTGAACAAGGCTCAGGTGGAGAACCAGGAGATCCTGGAATCAAAGGTCCACCTGGTGATGACGCAATTGGAGGAGTTGGAGTACAAGGACCTCCGGGGCCACCAGGACCTAGAGGACCAAAGGGTCCTCCTGGACCTAATGGTTTACCTTCAGAAAATCCAGGATCAGCAGGACAAGTTGGAGATTCAGGACCTCCTGGTCCTCCCGGTCCAAGAGGAGAACCAGGTCCGTCCGGGCCTTTCGGACCTCCAGGAGACTCTGGAGAACCGGGTGGACATTGTCCCTCAACATGTGGGGTCCAAGAAATCGTCGCCCCCGTCGTTAACGATGTAGAAACTCAGCAAGACTATCCTCAACAACACCCTCAACGATCATACGGAAGCGGAGGATATAGAAAATAGTTTTGTTTTCATAACTCAAATAAATGTTCATTCGCAATATTCTAAACTAAAGAAAATGTAGTCTCATTCCATTTATATACTGTTTGTAGCTTCGTATTAGAACATTCAGTTTCAGATGAGATAGTACAGAGACTTCAACGATGTTACTTGTTTTGTTTCATAAGGTACATGGAGAGGTCGAACGAAGTTCATTATTCACATTACAAATAGCACAATGCTCTATGCTCGATCGTTACGAAAAATTGTAAAAACTGACATACGTGATCTTACGTAGATTACTGTAGTTGCACGAATCTTTCTAATGACACCTCTACTGTTTTCGAAACTAGTTTGATTATACAAGTTACTATTTTGTTATTTGTTTTTTAGTTTTTTTGTTTTTTATTCAGTTATTTTAGGTATTGGCACGATGATGCCTCGACTGAACAGAAGTGTCACGTTGCTGATGTTCAGAGCGAAAAAATTATGGTCTATAGGAATTGGTAGGACACTCTTGTTTTCGTAGTTTGTATTCTGCTTTTTAGATTTCGGGTAGTCGTCTCATATTTCTGGGCATGTCCGTTTTTACACATGACGTTAGTGGTCTCGCATCTTCGCAATCAGCATATTCGAGACTTTCAAAATATAGTTGGCAAACATGAATAGGAATGGTAGATTTCCTTCTACTGATTGTTGCTCATTCATTTCATTTACAGAATATTTGTTTCAGTGAGTTCACATCGTGACCTGTAGAACAGTCTAGTTCTCAAGGAAACAAGAATTAGCAAGTCGGAGGAAGTTGAATGTTATCATTAGTTTGAAGATATTTAACTCCTATGGATGAAATATCTATTTTCTCACTTTTCACAGATTCACATTGACAATGCCTAGATAGAACCTTAGTATGAGGTACAGACATGGAGAAGGAGAAGTCCATGAGACTGAGGACTGCCATCTACAGTTAGTTTTTCTACTTCTCGAGATTTAAAGTTGGTCAAGGGTTTCCTACTCATTTCATACAGGAAACTTTTCAGATACTTTGCTGTTTCGCCTGCTATCTTGTACCAACCGTTTACCCTTAGTGTGGATATTTCACTGTTGGTCTGGATGGTTGAGATGAACCTGAAATGCTTGTGAGGCATCGTCCACGCAGCAGACGTCTATGTAGAATAACATGGTACAGCTCTTTCTCTAAAGTATCCCGATTTCAGAACTTTCTTTGGTAGAAAGAGAACGATAATAAAGATTTCGATCGGGTGTTAGTTGCAGCGGCTGTGTTCAGAGTCCGTTGAACTGTCTATACTCTGATGTTTTTCTTTTGTTTTCATGTTGGTTTTGGTTCAGGATTCATCAGTATGAGGCACAGTTTCTACTCCTGAGCCTCGAGAAAGACGAAACAGGGCTGTGCATTTGCGAGAAACTCTGTTTTCTTAAGCAGGAAAATAGAGCTTTTCACTAATTCATTTGTATTTTTTTAATAAAATTTTCTGGTTTTGTTCCGAGGCCACCTCGCCTCAACCCATTCCAAAAAATTGCAAATTCTGATCGCGTCGAGACCAATTTACAGAAATTTCAAAATTTCTGAAAAATTTATGATTTTTCCAATTTAATTCAAGCTTTTCTTCATTTAAATCGTCTTATATATATTATTTTTCATTATTAAATTGTTTCAAACGCGTTTATTCCCAAGTAGAAAACAGATTTCTCTTGGTTGGCTGTTTGAAATCTTCGTCTAATCCAGTTGAAAGGTTGTGATGCATTGGAAATAAACATTCTGTTCTTGTTCGATTTCTTTCACGTGTTCACATGGTTGCAACCATCATTATCTTTTCTTTGAGGCTATCAAGGATCATTTGAAGTGATTGTTGTGGAATCATCAGAAGATCTGGGACTTGGATTTCAAAGGTGTGTCTAAGTACATATAGTCTGTTACTTTCAGATCATGCACTGTTCTCTGTCGTTGTTATTACTACTGTCGTTATGAACCTCCCACCTGGCCCTATCCAACCGGAAGAATGAGTAGCAGGTTATTAGGTTTGGTTTAAACTCAGTTTTTATTTTC